GAAATAGCCAAGCATTTTTTTCACATGCATTGCTCCAGACAACAGTAACAGCTTTCGTTTCACATGTAAAAAAATCGCTTCCCTTTCACCGGGAGATAATAGCAAATCGCAAGCTCGCCTTGGATTCTCGTCCGAAAAAGGAGTTAAAGTATAAGGTATACAGGGAGAGAACAGTTTTTTTAGTTGTCCCAGTCGTCCGTTGCCCAAACAAAGTCGTAGGAAAAGGAGTATGGGGACTCGCCGCCACCACCGCCACCCGTGCTAGCGTGCCCTTCCCTCCCGTTCTTCTCCTGTCTTTCGCCGTCTTCTTCGTCGTCGTCTTCATCACCCACAAGCCGCCCCAGCTCTTGGCCGGCGGCAGCGCATCGTCGTCGCCAAGGTTAGTCGCCATCCACCAGTCGTCGTCATCCAGAGCGGCGGCGGCGCCGCTGCCGCCAAGGGTGTCATCGCTGTCGTCGTCGTCGAACGACATGCTGAAGAAGTAAGACGACGCCCAATTTCCTTCGTCCGCTGTCGTGTCATTGTGGTCGTTGTGGTCGCCGTCGTCGGACAAGTCGTGCATGATGTGGGACCTGCCCGAGCAGCCGAAGAGAGAGTCGTCCTCGAAGCGTCAACGCGGATGCGGTAGGCGCCGGGCGGGGCGCCCGCGGGGATCTCGACGTCGTAGTCGCCCTCTTCAGGTCGCCGACACGGTGAAGCGGAAAAGATGCAACAGCAGGCGTAAGGAGGGATGCACGGAGCGATAGAAGCACATGGATTTTGAATTCCCAGAGGTACCGAGCGAGCCTTCCTTCAGCAGAGCTTCTTGGCCTGGGCCGCGCAGGGGGGGGCTGGCGGGAAAGAGCTCGAGGGTTCAATATTTTGAAATGCCAGAGGATAAATCTTTACTATGTAGAAAGTGGCCCCTGTTGGCTTCCAGTCGGTGGAACAAGGAGCGAGTCTCGGGAAAGGTAAGAGCTTCTCATGGGATGACGTGTTCTGTACATCACGACGCCCACAACGTGGAAGAAAAAGATTCGTTGCTGGATTACAGTTTTGCTATGAGAGTAATGACGAAAGCAAACCGTGGCACGATTAGAGGGGGCAGAAGTTGCGTGAACAGCAGAAGAAACCGCCGAACGCGGGATCGAGCTTTGTCCGGTGGGTAACAGTACGAGGCGTGGCTTTGGCGAGAAATGCAGCAGGAACAACAAAGCAAACTACCAGGAATACGCGCCACCGGCTTTGTTAATGATTCGGCGCTTCTACTTCACCGTCGTTCTTCTTGTTGACAAAAGCAGGCCTTCGGAGTTCAACGGTGGGCTCTCCTGTTCTAATCTAAGCTCCTCTTTGAACGTTGTGTTCTGCTTTGTTGTGAGTGATAGGACTCGCTCTACAGTACAGTTGTCTCAAGTTAGTTGTTTTGTAGCTTGCTGGGGATTGGCTTGTGGCCAGCATGGAAACTCGTTTCTCTACCGTTGAAGGGGAGGGGAGCGGAGGTTCAATATATATAGAGGTCAGCACGGTGTTTCGTGTGCAGACAGCAACGGCGTTTAACTGGTCGTAACACATATGAGAGGGGGGGTAGAAAGTGCTTTACTTCTGTAGTCAACGAACAGCCCGAATGATAATAAGCAGGATGAGAATTGACGTTCTGGACGGCATAGGATGCATCGGTGATTACATGATTACTGTGGAAAGACTCAAACTCTGGGGGACAAAAATAAAGAAATGGCCATGATTGCTCAGAAGGAACGTTAGAGTGTGCTACGAGGCTGATGTACATAGCTAAGCACGAGGGAGCAAAAACAAGTTTCCTTCATTGCCCAGTGGCATGATGCCAAGGATAATGGACACTACGATGTAAAGTAAAGTTCTACGAATGTAGCCTGTGCTTCTTGCTCACTTGAGTCTTTGCATCCGATCTCATTCTTGTCCCAGATGGACGTGATCCACTTGCCGCAGTCGCCCTCGCCGACGTCCGCACGGTAGAGGTCGATCTTGAAACGGTCGGTGGACTGTTCTGTGGTACGGCAGGGAAAAGGGCACACAGGGTGCGACAACATCATCAGTTGGGTACGTCGTTCGCCGCAAGCGCGGCCTTGGCCGCCCTACTCGCTTCTACAGCAGTGTCCGGTCGCCGTTTCTTCCCCCCCCCCGCCGCTTCCCCGATTCTCTTTCTCTTCGGGCCCGGGGCGGCC